CAAAGGTTCCATTCATCTTATCGTTTGTGATGATAGTAAAATTCTGATAGTAACCAGACTTTCGAAAAAAAAACACCAATGAACGGAGGTATAACGCTGACAATGAGATCTATTGTTTCAAAAAACAGTCAATCCAGACAAGATTAAATAGTTTTGGCCAAGACGTTTTTTCTCGATCTTTCTATAAAATTGTTTTGATTGTTTTGTTGTTGTTGTTTTCGTAAGTCAGTGGAGGTACAAAACTGACGATGAACCCTGTTGATCTGCTATCTTTCTGTCAAAGATAGAACTTTCGGCTGAAATGTTTCCATCTTTCGACTCACCGTCATTCATTATTTCTTTCCGCGCCGACGATTTTAATACAGTTGAAGTTAACCTTCCAATTGCACTTGCTTCAGCAACGACATTACCACGCATGTCCAGTAGCGTTACTCTTGAAATATACACCAATTATGAATTCTGGGCAGGTATTTAAAAACTTCCACGACAACTTTCTCTGGGGTTGAGATTTCCCATCTAGAATCTCCCAGGGATGCAGAGAAGGTTTGTTTTGGTCACTGCGAGGGCAAAAAGAAAAAAGGTCTGCAATCAATCACCGAGGACCCTCCTGTTCATAATCATGCTACAACTGTAAACATCTAGGTCAAGTCGTGATCCACACAAATCCGTTTTACTCTTTTTTAAGCATGTGCAGTGAGATGGCTGCTGAAGAGAGGGCACCTGTTATTTTATCACTTTGCTGAATAGTACATCTATTTTCATTTATTTAGCACTGATTTTTTTTTCTGACGCGCGCGAAGGACTTCACCCAAGAGCAGGGACTGCACGTAATCTATAACAGCACATACTAAGAGCCCATGGGCTCCTGCACATACTAAAATTCACCGTGACCAGTGACTCAGTCACGTAATTCAATTGTGTACTTTTCCCATCTAAATAAGGCGGCGATAACGTGATTTTTTTATTTGGGCTTCCCAAAGGGAGCCCAAGGTTAAAAATGGCCTTCGTTATTTTTTCCTACGTTCAGTCATAAATCGTCATCTGGTTCCTAAAACGCACGCGTCCCTTCTTATTGTCTCTGCGCAAACGCACGATTAGAAAACACACACATGGTTAAAAAAATGGTGGATTTATATCAAGCGTCGTCCTTGAAAGGAAGCACGAATACTAGGATTTCTTCTCCGCTAAAACCACATACAAATGCACACACAGTTTGCGGTAGACCCACACTAGATGTTTCTGAGCGTTTTATGAAAGGGTCCACTTCGCCGCGGACTTAACAAGAGATCAATTTACGAGCGACCATTTTTGAGTAAACCTATAGAGAACCATGCTATGTCAAATGAGCTATCCAATGTTAATCATGTAAAGAAGCATCTGCATAAGCATTATCGGGTATTTAGACTTGATCGTGAACCCAGCAGAATACCAAGAACTCTGGAACGTTTTAGGAACAAGAACAGAAAGGTTAGAGAATTTGTCCATAAAGGTATTCGTTCACATACACCCAAGTCCTTCAAAGTGCATTGTTATGTGAAAGTTAAAAAACAACGAAATAAAACGAATTTTTTGTTAAAAGGTTCTGGGACAATCCATAAAAGTATAATAAAGTTAAGAAAGAGAGCTAGTCGGTATTTGTCACTGTTTTCTTCAAATAGAATGTGTCTCTACAAGAGTCATACCCATGCAGCCAATTATTGTAAATTTAAATTTGATTTCAAACAAAGAAAAGAACCCTGGTCCTACCCCAATGCACGTCGACTCTAGCAAAACAATAGCAGCACCATGTAGCCAAGGTAATGAGTTAGTATTTGGACAAAATTCAAGGCAAAAATGTGTAGCAAGGAGTTTATGTTCTTTGATTTACAATACCAGACAAAGGATAAGTTCTGGTCATGATCTCATCGACATAAATATTGGGAATCAATTGTATTCAGGTTTGTCTCAATTAGCAAGACAGTCGTATTTAATGCAGACAGAATTGCCAACAATGTTAAATGTGTCTGAGGCTGACTATCAACTAGAATACAGTGATAGCTATTCTGGCACAGTGGATCGAGACAAAATAATAGAAGGACATCAGTACTCTACCTCTTCACAAAAAGCCTTTGATTCACTCACATCTGACGGTTACACTAATTTTATATTAACAGTAGGGTTTATTGGTGTTGCTATCTACTGTAATATGTCAACTTTCTGGCGTTTACAGCTGGATATGCCAGGAAAGAAGCCCAATTTTACGCACATATGCGTCTTGTTGTTCGGAATTCTAGCCTAGTTCTTCCAGGCTATCAGTCGTGTTTGTGCTTGATGGGAACAGAGAAATACAGGACTTCAGATCAGCGAGAGGAATGTCCGAGACCCAGTGCATGGTTTCAATGCGGCATTGACAGCATTGCCGACGCTGTACAAAAGCTCTGCTTCTGTGCGTTCTAGTTCGTTTATAATTCGGAAAAAAATCTTTAAAACCATCCGCACCTTCAACTACAGTATTTTCTAGACTCCGTAATGATTTCCTCTGTGTGGCCTCTTAATTTTTTATTACATGGTGGATTTACTCATCGGTTGAAATTCAGTTTTGCGGCACACAATCCGTGAGGAACAGCGTCAGCTGAACCACTTCTTAGAGTTCACAATGAGGCCATATTACTATCAAGACATAGCGTGGCTAAATTTAGTTAATTCTTGGTCTCATATTTCAGGTAGGGTCTTTGCGTCCTACAGTCTACGGTGATACTTTTGTTACTTTGCTTGTTCGCTTGTTTGTGTTGAGGCACCCATAGATTATCAATTCAAAGCAGTACGTGAGAAGCGTTTTAACACAACTTTGTTAGCCTTCCAAAGATTCATGATCTGCTGCATGTCCTACACACAACAAACCAATGCTGCCTTTTTTTTTCAAAGGGCTTTGTTATTAGCTATTCGCATGTGATGAGACATAAATCCCTAGCGAATGGTACTGTACATGCGTAGTAGCGCGATTGCTAAAGGAAGTGCATTTGCGGGGTCAAGCCTTCAGTTTACATGATGTTCGATTCGGCAGCAGTGATGCTGGAACGAGTAAAAAATCTGTGAAACTGAATAGGAAAAAGAATACTTTACCTTAAATATGGCGAGGGTGTTACCTTTAAGACACAGTTTTGGAGATGGATGCCAACATAACTCAAAATTTTTGCCTGAAATATTTTTTGGTGGCACGTGCAATTACTCGTGTAACTTATGCTATTGTTGATGCTATTAGTTTACTGGAACTTGACCTCCGAGTTGCACTTGCTTCAGCGAACGTGCCACTACGCATCCTCAGTAACATAAACAAGGGTTCCATTTATCTTGTTGTTTGTGATGAAGTTAAAATTCTGATGGTAACCAGACTTTCGAAAAAAACATCAGTCTGCGTTCACCATTCATTACGTAACTTAAGAAAAGTAACGCAACAGTAACTCAAACAGAGCTTTTCCTTGCAACTTTATTCAGGATTAAAATTTGCTTAGGGTTAGGGTTAGCCAGATAGAACTTTCGGCTGAAATGTTTCCATCTTTCGACTCGCCGTCATTCATTATTTCTTTCCGTGCCGACGATTTTAATACAGTTGCAGTTAACCTTCCAATTGCACTTGCTTCAGCAATGACATTACCACGCATGTCCAGTAACGTTACTCTTGAAATAAACAGCAATCATGAATTCTGGGCGGGTATTCAAAAAATCCCACGACAACTTTCTCTGGGGTCCATAATTCACATCTAAAATCTCCCATGCATGCAGAAAATATTTGTTTTGGCCACTGCGAGGGAAAAAAGACATGTGTAGACTGGAACTTACGTTACTCGTGGTCTGATAACCCTTTGGTCTGCAATCAATCACCGAGGACCTTCCTGTTCATAATCATGCTAATACTATAAACATTTAGGTCTAAGTCATGATCTACACAAATTCGTTTTACTTATTTTTGAGCATGCGCAGTGAGATGGCTGCTGAAGGGAGGGCAACTGTTATTGTATTACTTTGCTGCAGAGTACATCTAAGTTGCAGCTGAGTATAATAACTTTTTGTGTTTGTGGTCCACTTGTTATCAATCTGGAAATGGGCGGAGGTATAGCACTGACAAAGTTTCTGATCTTTTTGGCAAACGATAAATCTTTGTACGAAGTTCGTCTGTTTTTCGACACACAATCCTCCAATATCTATTTTTTTCTAGAAATCACCTGTACTTAACCTTCCAAATACTTTTCCTTTAGCAATGGCACCACTGAGCATGCCCAACGGCGATACCAGTTAATCAATCGGTTTTTGCCTGTCAACAACAATTGGACATGTTAGTGAAATCTGAACTGAAATAGATATCTATTCGTGACTTATATCAAAGGAATCTGTTAACTGGTATTGGAACAGTTCCCCAACACTATTAACCATTATTTCTTAAGATGGCATCTCAAATTGACAGTGAATGTCTATGAGCATTTTTCCCAAAAACGAAGGAGTACAGATCATGAAGATTTCGACACTTGTTATTTGTGGTCTGAATAACCCTGAAGCTTGTTATCAGTCACTTAATGTTATTCTCTTCTGGCAGGTATCAAGTTCTAATTGCATCTCTCAGAGATCTATTTTAATCATTTTTTGAGTATGCGCAGTAAGGTTACTCATCATTCTCGTGTTCAACGGTGAGCCTCACAAGCAGTTGAATTATGAGATCTCACAGATATATACGTAGAGCAACGGACCCTGGAAAGAAACGTCTTTGTTATCAAAATTGGCTGAAAGTCATTGTTACTACTTAACGTTTGGAAATGCTGTGGAAAGAACCTATTGCGACTGTGCAGGGGCAGCATGCCCGTTACGCAACTATTGATTTAAAGTTGACCCGTTGTGACCCTGTTTCAGCAGTTAAGCCCTGAATCTATGAGGGAATCGATCCAACTGCAGACGTTTTGTCATCAATGCACGATATCAGATTACAACGATGAGGAAGATAGGAGGCTCTGTAAAGGTATAAAAGAACACCGCTTTATCATTCCTATCCATTCACTGTGGAAATAGGAATCATTCCTCTGCCACAAGAAGAACGAACTCAAGAGCCGGTCGTCACCAGAGTTTGGACAACAGAAAGATGGTGAGCACATTTGACGGTACTTAAATATACGAATTACCCTGAAGCTAACTTCACTTTTTTCATGCATACGCATGCTTGATATCCAGCCGTTTTGATAGTAGCTCAAATTGTGAAAAAGATGCAGCTGGACTTGTGAGAAGGGATGGGGCTCCCCTTTAAAGACTTACTTATAAAGCGTGAAAATCATAGATTTCCAACGAATGCTATTTTCTTTTATTATCAGGAGTGGAAGTTGTACCTCCTTTTCTTTGCCTTGTTCGTGGCTGCCACATCTGCAGCGCCCACTTGTAAATGCGAAGATGAAGATAAGGTAAAAATAAAAATACTCGTTAGTGTTATCATTTATCAATCTGCAGCCTTGCAGTCTTTCATCTTGTACTTTTAGCCATCAATCTTTTATTGTGATATAAGGTTTTAGGAGACTTAGTTGTTCCCGCACAATGCAGACCAAAGCTGAAATTTGTGCCGTTACAGAGCCGATAAATGCGTTCTGACCATGTTCCTTTAATTACTTCGTAGAAACGTCAGGTTCGCCTTTAAAGTCCATGTGAATGAGGCCAGAACAATAGCAACATAAACGTGATTATAAAATCTTTTGCTCCACAGGAAACTTTGTCCAAGTACAAAGTTAAAGTCAAAAATGGTGACGAAGAGTATGAACAAGAAGTCGAAATCGACACCGAGAAACAGACGGAAACTTATCACATTCCAAAAACGAAATCTTCCAGCGCAGGAGAAGTGGACGAAGTCTATGACTTTAAAAGAGTAAGTAAATTAGCATAGCAAAGTAAATAAGCATAGCAAAGGTAGCACTCCTCTCCATTCTCCTCAGTTATTTTTAAGATGCTGACTGTTGGTCGGGGTCTTAAACCCTCAACCTTCCGCACGGTAGTAGGGCGCTCTCCAATTAGTAAGAGCTAACCAAGTGCGGTTTAAAAGTTAAGATTTTCAAATGGATTGAAGTCACGACTCTAAGATCTTGTAGAGTGGCTTTACGCTTGTCTAAGTAATAGCAAGGTAATTTAAGTAAAAAAGTTATCGCAACTTTTCGCGTTTTCGCGTAGCTTAGGCTAGTTCGCTAACTTTGGATAATGGTTAACTCTTTGTTACATTCCCTTACGTTGTGATACTCAGTCAAAAACTGCTCTAAGAAAACAGGGATTACTAATTAAAATTCATAGTTACTGGTTACTCATCTACTTGCTGATGTTCTTCGTACAGAACTTGGTCATGCGCCGAATGCCTGAACACAAAGCCTGTTTCTTGAGTGAATCCACTGAAAACGCTCCAAAGCCTCAAGACCTCAAAAATGCACTTGACAAGGTAACTTTCCTTTCTTTGTTGGCGAGCAACGATCGATACTCTAGCTTTACACTGAAGTTCACGATAAAGCCTTCGTTTTTTGATGCATTTCTGTTTCCTTGAAATTATCGTTTACAGTAAAGTGTTAGTTTTCTAGATGGTATGTGTTCAGAAGGCGATTTTTTTTTTGCTTTTCTCTAATTAAATGTCATAACCGACATATTTATGGTCGAAAGAAATATAGACCTTCCGGCTCAGGCTAATCAATAAGCTCTAGTATAAAAATAACGTCTTTTCACACTGTCATATCCCAGTTTTGACTTCTTGTAGTACTCATGGAAAATGAATCAGTCATCACAACAACTTAGCGCTTCGAACATGATCTTAACTCCATTATCACCTAAAATCTTAAGGAAGATCATGATTATGGAATGAGTGCAAATTAAAATAGAAATTTGATTGGAAGCAACTCATTGCTTTTTCAGCAAAGCGCATCAGGTTCCTCACAATCTGCTAATACTACTGAGGACAACTTCGAAGTTGTTGGCACTGTGAATGATCGTTCCACTCTGAGTGATGAAATGGCTGCAATGTGTGCCAAATTTCCCATTTATCGCATCAAGAGGAAGAAGGTCACTTTGAGTGTGGAAAAAGAAAACATCCAAGGTATTTGTGTGCTTTTGTTTATATTTCGTTTAATCGCTTTAAGTGGAACCGCTAAGGAGTTAATGCCCACAGAGTTAATTATAAGTCGTAACTAGTTTTCGCTCTCATTTTCCAGGTGGTAAAGACAGGGAAAAGAGAAACCTCTGCATCTACTGCTATTGGAAAGTCACAGGTTACATATGGGTAACAAAAAGTGATGGTACCGTCGTAATTTACAGGGTTTGGACTTGGACATGCATTTACGTATCTTGCAGCCGCTGAACGAAGACCAATAGTCGTTTAATGAGGCAACCTCCTGATCCAGAAACCTCAGCCAAGAAATAAAAATTGATAGGTCTTTTTCTGATTCCCTATTGATTTCATGTTACAAAATGTGCTTAAAAATCGCAGCTAGCAAAAAAACTTACCAATTTACTTATACTTATGGTTTTTTTTTTTACATTTTTTACATTTCTACGTAGAGTTCACATTTGTGCAAAATCAATAAAGAATCTGATGAATCAAGTAATTCAAATCTCTGGTGTGTTTTGTGATTCAGAGTTTAGACATCCCCACATCAAACTGACAACTGACTGACCATTTAACTCCTAAGAGTGATTAGCATCTGATTTCTCCTTACATCATCAGTCCTGAATCACACGAGGGTCATGAGAATAAAAGAAATGATCACCAACCGAGGAAGTTCTTGATTGTGACACAAATTCTCCTTGTGTAGAGAACAGTGCGGAGAAGATGCATACTGATGTTGGGGTGTGAAGCCGGGTTGATGTGGATTGCAAATAATGAACCAGAAAATTTTAGGCCGAGGAAAAACAAACCGTGAAGTAAGATAAATTTCAGGGGATAGCCACGCTCTCTCCGAGATCCGATTTTTAAGTAAGTTGTCTTCATTACTCAACCAGACACAAAATATTGAAAATATCTACACCGTGCCATTAATTTAACTTCAACATCTGTACAGAAATCAACTGCGTGGAAAAAATACACCAAAGCTAAGAAAACGAAAACCTGCCTAACCTAGCTAGGAAAAGAAAAAAAAAAGGCACGTGGTTCTCGGGCCGAAACAGCAGTGCAACTCGCAGAAAATTTTGCGTATCCTGATTTCAACACTTGCGTTACATCAATAACAAAACGGCTGATGGCGTCAACATGGGATGCGTTGATCATTACCTACAGTCACTCTGGTTTTAAGTGGAAAATAATAGATTTAATGTTGACTGTTCAAGGTATAGGAATGAAATCGAAAAATGAAGACAAGCAAAAAAAGAAAAAAAAACTTAGTCAATAACACGGGAAAACTTGTCAGGAAGAAGCTTACGATCAGAAAATCACAAATCTATTGTTTATTAAAAGAGAGCGAAGCGAGACAGTCACACGTGTGACTGTGACAGTGTCTCACCTTCTTGACGGCCGTAAATCACCGACTTCAGTCCCACTACCCTCTGCGAGCCTGGGCACCTTCCCTGAACCTCTGATAAGTGCTGGGAAAATGGTTATTCATGCTAACGCAGCATTATCTAAATTTAAAGATCTTGTAACTGGCTTCCGTTTGACCGACGCAAGAGCCGTACCAAACTCAATTGACTCTCGGAAAGTTGCGGTCAATGTCTGTTAACCGTTTAACTCATGAGAGTGGCTAACATATCACTCTTCCCCACAACATCTACACTTTATCCAGCAGACAGGTAATGAGAATACTCAAATTTACCAGGTAGAAGTTGTTATCGTGATCTAACACCAGATTCTAGTAATTCATTAACAAGGAATTGTATAACAGCTGGAGGGCAGATCAACAATCAAATCATGGGTAATTTCCTTCCATACTAATTGACGGTGAAGTATGGTACAAAATTTAAAGCACGGTACGAGAGTCTGGAATGGGAAGAATAACAAGACCTTTATACCAACATCTTTACATTTTCCCCAACATCAGTATCCATATTTGCCTTTCTCTTTCTTACACATTTCCTTTGGTACTGACGAAGAAAATTCGTTTAGATTTTAAAGCTTCTTAGGTTAGCAATCATTTCCTTCACTCTCGTGATCTTAATAAAAAATTCTGTAGTAAAACTGTGAGGAGAAATGAGATGCTGGCCACTCTTAGAGTTAACCCTTAAACTCCCATGAGTGACCAAGACAGAATTTCTCCTTACAATATCAATACAATATCAACCAGATAAGTGATGAGAATAAAGAAAAATATCAATTTAGGGATAATTAGCTGATCAAATACTAAATTCTCTGAACATTATAAGAATTGTATGGTTGACAGTAAAGAGAATTACAAATTTGAACTGGGAGTAAAAGGGTAAATTGTGATCTTATTTTTGGCAATCAGGATTGTCATCACTGTCATTAATTACAGTGTGAAAAGAGCAGTTATGATGGGCTGAAATGCATAACTTGGAATTAATTGACTTAAAGGCAGTCTTCTATTCTGCTCAAATCATCTTATTTGCATTTGTTCAGCCAAATTAATGGCAAGACCAGATTGTTGTATTTTTTTGTGAAAACTGATATTGAGATGCTTCATATAAAGTTTTTTAGCTGACAAATATCAATCTCATCAATTATCCAAATGAAAAATCTCTCAGTTTTTCCTTTTTCAAGCAGGCCAAGTCTCCATTTTGACATCTTTTGCAAGTCACTGAAAATATTTAGATTTCCATATTCCCTTGAGAATCTCAGACTCCATACAAACCCCTGAGTCTCAATATTTCTTCAAAAATTATTGTTCAATTTCACACAAGTTGTAGAATTCTAAATCCTTGTCTTTTTTCCAACCTCTTTTCTTTGCATTCTCCTTTTTAGTCTCAACCAATTTTTCAATGTTTTTCTTTGCTTGCTCATACTCTTTCTTGTGGAAGAGATGTTTAAGCATTGGCGCCCCTCCAAGATACAGTGAGTCCGAAAAGCGGGCCAGCTTTAAAAGAGTCCAGGTGAAGCCATCTACTGCATGTCCTGCTAGTGCGATCATCTTTATTTCCTTAACAAGTTCATTCTGTGGCACTGGAAAATCAAAAAATCAAAAAGCATTCCACTTTGAAGTCATTTTGGAAGAAGTACTGGTAGACTAAGGGGGATTTGGGGGTTCAGTCACACCCTTGCAGAGGGTTTACTGACATCAGAAAAAAATGCAAAATTTAAATTAATAAATGAGGTAATTGTAAATCTTGTGAGTTGAGCTGACCATTTTTTGAATAGCAAGAACACACAACCGATGATCATTTCAGCTCAGTCTGGAAATAATTTATCTTGATACAAAGAGTAATATTTTGATAATAGAAGGTGAGCTGTTAAAAAATGCTGACTTCGCTTCTGAGCATCCTTAGTCCCATATCTCAATGGTTAGAATTCAAAATTGTGTTAGGGAAGTTGTCACCAAATCCCACAAATGGCAACCATCTAATTTGATCCTCCTCTTTACAAGTCAAAGAAGATCAGTCTTAGTCCACCACTTTACATCAGATGATAATGGCTAATGCTCTCTCTGCCACAATTGACAGGTAAGTATTTTCTCTTTATGCCATCAAATCCATCATGAAGCACACACACAATGAGAAGGAAGAAAAACATAACCAAGGAATAAGACAAAACATGAAGCTCTCCTCACAAACATTGTAAGAAATGTAAAGGTGAAGTCTGTAACCAAGCCTATTGGCCTGCTCAGTCAGAGTTTATCTCAGTTTCCATGTAGCATGAAGCAACAAGGAGTATTACTACTTCCCCCTAGATGGGAAGCTAGTTCAATGCAAGGTTACCCCCCAGGATTTTATCAGGCTTCTCTGACATTTTGCCAGAACTCATTTAGACTCCTGGGTAGAGAGAGGTGCTGTGAGAGGAAAGTGTCTTTCCCAATAATACAATGCATTGATCCAGCCAGGTCTTGAACCCAGGCCTCTTGACCCAGAGTCCAATGCACTGATCAGTAGGCCACTGTGTCTGCCATATTGTAAGAAATGTAGGAAAGGAAATGAGGAGAGTTGATAATGGCATCATGTAACCCTTTAACTCCCATGAGTGACCAAGACAGAAATTCTCCTTACAATATCAGTACAATATCAAGCAGACAAGTGATGAGAATAAAGAAAAATATTAAGTAGGGGATTATTAGTTGATCCAATACCAAATTCTCCAAATTAACATCACAAGAACTATAGGGCAGACAGTAAGGAGAATTGCTAATTAGATCTTGGGAGTTAAAGGGATAAGGGAAATAAAAATTCATGTTTGTACCTGCATTTATGACTGGATACCTAACAGAAGTTCCCAGTAACCTGGGCTCTTTCTTCATTAACCCAAGATCCACAAGGCTGTCAAATGTAGCCGACACACAGCTTGGCTTGTGGTAATTTGAACCTTTCAGTATCCATTTAGACACACTGCGTGGCTTGTCAGGATGTTTACGAATGCGTTCCAACATCTGGTTGAACATACAGTTGTCTAAGTAAGAGTTTGTTGGTGTGAAATCTTTCACCTTTGGAGAAACAGAAATATAAAAATATAATTTTAAAATCAATGAATTATAAAACTCTAGGGTAGTAACAACCCCCTCCCACTCCTCCCCCCCAGCCCCATTGATGACACTATTCACACAAGTTCTTAATCAGAAAGAGGATACAAGTGCTTATGTAATGCTTGTAAACCCCCTTCCCCCCCTTCCCTCAAAAAAAAGTTGCCCACCTCAGTGAAAAGTTTTTCTGAGACCTGATCGGTAATTTTTTTCAGACCTGCCCATCACCTATGGAACAACACTTTCAGCCCCCCCCACCCCCTCCCAAAAATCTTCTGCACGACAACGATGAAGAGGGGGGAGGGGAAGGAGCGTATCGTTGGAATTTTCCGAATAATTTAGTGTACTCTACAACGTAGTTGTAATCGATATTCGAACTAGCCTTAATCAATCCTTTCTTTTCATTTGATATTCTAAATCACACAATAAAAATATAATTTTATTTTCCCTCACCTGAAGTACCATCTCCTTATACTTCACACCCAGACATGACGCCTGTGCGTCTTCAAAACTGACTTTGCCAAGAACGTACAAGTCGATGATAACAGCTGCCGAAATATTTCCAAAATGAGGCGCACTTGCCTTCCTTCCAGGAACGTCGCCAGTCGATTGGTCATGCCATAGCAGACACAACGCTTGAGAAATTTTAAGGTTTCTTTCCTTAAAGCACTCAGTAACGAATCGGTCCGACTGAAAAATTTCTAAAAGGTTCTCTGCCAATTTCGGAGAGTAATCTGCATCTCCGTCCGCCATACGTTTCTCGACTCAACTCGATCGATTTCACCAAAAAGATCTGTCTATTTTCTCCAGCAGCGTTGTTTATATACAGTAGCTGCCGGCGATAATTACATCACAGTTACAGATCAAGTTAAACGAGCATTCAGTTTTTTTGCGTGGGTAGTTCAACCATGACAACAAAAGCGATATTTTTAACTCAACCTGTTTTGACCCGGTTTTCGCCATCTTGAATTTAATTTTCTCAGGTACAGACCAGGGTCCAGACTCCTTGCTCTTTCTATTTTTAGATTCTGACGAAAAATTTTCAGAGCTACTCGCGAGGATCACAAGACCTAGTTACTCACAACTTTTTTTGTTACTCACGATCTCTTCGTGGCGTTAAAATTAGTTAATTTATACCCACGTTAGCAAATTTTTTTCAACAATAGTTGACACAATCAGAAAAAGGGCTTCGTCTGGAATCAATTTAGGGAAGGTACGTTTTTTTCTTGGGGGGGAGGGCTGGGGCCTCAGAGGGGAGGGTCATCAGTGAAAGTGAGCACCAAAGGGGGAGGGCCATACCCTCTTTTTCAGCTATTCAAGGGGAGGGTCACACCTTTTCCAGAATTTTTAATGGAGATTTTTGTGATGTTATTTTCCATTTTTCTTTAACAGACTAAGTTTTTTCTTTTCAACTTGTTTCTTTTAATTCGGTGCAGGTACTAGGTTTACAAGGTTACTGGGTGTCTACATGTATATTATTCCATGGCACATAATTTTCTCGGAGTACTCGTGTCCTTTTCCGTCCGTATCGTGACGTACTTGACTCGGGTATGGTTTCTTGTTCCAGCTGTTTTCTATCCGCTGCCTGATCTCCTGAGTCATTAAGCTCTGAAGAGCTACTGTGGTAGTGAGGTGAGGGTCACACTTTTGTCAGTCACCTAAAAGTGGGGGGGTCAGGAGTTTTTTTAATAAAAACATGAGGGAGGGCCAACACTTTCTTTTGGAAAAAATACCAAAATTCCCCAGGGCCCCCCCCCCAAGAAAAAACGTACCTTCCCTAATAGTCACTTGAAATTTACTCCAGATTGTCCCCCATTAAAGAGCACTTCAAGAAGCCCAAGGTTCTCTCATTTTAAATTTTCCCCACCTCGCTCGTGTAAGAAGAAAACTGTTCGCGTTTTTTATCGTTAAAAAGACAGTTTTAAATTTAATACATGCTAAAAGCAGACTCTTAACATACAACAGGTCTGCAATACGTCTAAATAACTGTTCCTTCAAGCGCTAATCATCTATGACAGAAAGCTCAGTACAACTTGGCATCTTTACGGTCTGCCATTTTGGTGGCCAATGAAAGCCAGTGGAAAAAAAAATATATCCAAATCGACTGTTAAAGTTTCATTAGATAAAACGATCTTAAATACAATACGAGTTTCGAGAGATTATAGCATGACTATAATTTCGTCTCATTCAATGCTACGATTCTTGATTCATTATTCCACCCGCTTCTATCCATGGCCACACGTCTCCCTCCCCTCCCTTCATCTTGTGGGTTGAGAGGAGGTAATGAATTGTGTCAATAATTTGAATTTCAAAAAAGGTATTTCTGTTTTGCTGAACTGACAATAATTCAATCGTCATTAGTTACAATATACATCACAATGTAACAAATTACAACTGATTTACAGCCTACGCGTATGCATTGCCCTCCAGCAATACATGCCC